TGTTTCTCTTAATTCAGTTCATTATGACAATTCTTTCTTGTGTCCCCTTATCCATCTCATCCCCCTTCTTGGAGGGAAGAAAATTTAAGCAACTATTTAAAGGACAAATTGATACTCCCTGTCACAGAACTATACAACAGAGTCACTTTCTTCAATATTTTCTGTCTCAGAGTTTCTAGCATATCTCTTCCTTTTACATGATCACTTTCTTCAAGATCCTGAAATTTACTAAAGGAAATGTAGAATCCAAAATCTATGCTTTTTTCCTCAGCTGGTTATTTATTCAATTTTCAACCTACAACTGTAAGAAGGGATTGCTGCTGCACTGAGTGGGTGTTTGGGCTTGATGACATTTAAAGTCCCTTCCAACTCTAAAATTTTAAGACTACCATTCATAGCAAACGTTAATAATGAATGAAGTAAGAATCTCAAAGTTGAAAGAACAATGATTAACTCAGAGTTATCCTGTAGTCAGTGATAAAATTCCTTAAAATACTGGTCTCAATTTCCCTTTTCCTTCAGTAACTTTACTCTCTTAAAAAAGAGTTCTTCGATTAGAAAAACTGTTTGGAAAAAAAAGAAAAATTGTTAAAAAAAAAAAAGCAGGTAGATAATAAGATATGTTCATAGTGATTAAAATATTCTTTACTTTTCAATTTTATCTTTGAAGTTTTAAGAAATTTCAGCATCAACATCTTTTACTACTACTGATTCCCCAAAGGCCTGGATATCCAAAGGGCTAGAATCAGCTCTTACAGCAGCTGGGCAGTATTAAAAAACAAAGAGGGAGGGAATGACAGACAGCAGGGCAGGGAGAGAGGGCTGGCACGGTCTCACCTGGTCTCACCTAACCCTAATCAGGGACAACCAATCAATGGTGCTCTGCTGGTTAGCAAAAGGTGATTTTTTCCCTACTGCTTTCAAATAAAAGTGATAAAGAATAGAAGGTTCAACATAATAAAGAAAAACACAAGGTTTGTTTGAATATGGGGATGCTTTTGGCAGTCATGAATGATTTCAACTGAGACACAAAATGATAGAAAACACCACATGCATGTACAAACTTTTTCTCTACAATACCGAGTATTTCCTGTTGATAAACATTAACCTGTTCTTCTAATTCACACCTTATCTTTTAAGCCTCTATTACATTTCACTGAAAATATAACACTCTCCAAGAATAACTTGGCAATCGATTTACAAAATACACTGAGCACCCCAGGGGTAACAAAAAGTGATTTTACCACAGAGGGAATAAAATTAGTCTATTCTGACCTGTATGCCCATCAACAAAGTTAAATCATTCCTCACTTGTTACTATTTTCTTAGCTTTTTAAATAAACAATTAACAAGTCATAAAAGTTTCAACTCTTTTCATAAAAATATCCCAACATTTAACAACTCTCTCAAGAGATTTAAATGCTGAGGCATTCCCTCAGTTTCACCTCCTATGAAGAGGATTTCCTTAGAAACAAGTGAAAATAACATTATCCAGTGATCCTTGGGCTCTGTCTTTAAAGACTAGGCAGGCAGAGGGCAAATTTTTAAGGTATCATGTGGTCATCTCAAACTCTCAATAACATTCCTGTAGGTTTCCCTCCCTCTTTTCAAACTATGTAATCCCTGTGTTTATCAACTTGCAAAAAACACAAATGACTTGTATAAAGTTCTCTGCATACTCCTTGGTTTTGAGTGATCTTTTGGATCAAAGTTAGTATCTTTAAGAGGAAAGAAGCAGGAACAACTCCACTTCTTTTATAATCTTCACCTTTCCTAATATTTGTTTAAAATTCTGCCTAGCATCCTTCATCCTTGCTCTCATTTTGGATGGACAGGGATCTACAAGTAAACGTACTTTCACTCTCACTTTGCTTTTAGAAACTGCAACATGGTAAAAATTTAACATAAGGCGTCCAACAATAAACAAGATTTTAAAAAGTACATACCTTGTACTGTCTCTAATCCCACATTAAGCTTGTTTTACAAAGTTAGGCCCCTAGCTGAATCAAGATGCAATAGTCTTTCTTAAAACAGATCAATCCTTGATTGTACGGGAAGACATGTAGTCTACAAAATGCAGAAATGCTCTGCAGCCTCCTAACATCCTGCTTATACTTGCTCCCCTTACACATAGTTCAGAAATCAGTCTATCTGACACCCACACTCATCACTGCTAAAAAGTAAGAAAACACTCTGTTCATTTAGCATTTTTATCTTTCTTAGTCTTAAGGGCTTCCGAAAGGAACTGAAATAATGCTGGACGAGGGATAAGCTCATGGCCCACCCAGAGACAGACTGAAGAACCAACGAATGGAACACCAGATAGCCTGGCTTCACCACACACGTTTGCATCTCGAACATGTTTTAAAAAGATGATCCTCACCACTTTTTCAACTTAGGCTCCTTGTGCCCTTTCCACACAAGCTACCTCAAAGAGTAAAGAGCAAATCTTTGGTAACTTGTGAGTTCTGTATTCTCATCAGTTGATCTGCACTTAGAATCCGCATAAGCTTGGAAAGGTATACAGCAGCTAAAGGGATTAGTAACTCCTCAGATGCAAACAAATAATCTTCAGGCACACTCAGTCCAAACGAGTGCAGTTTTATAAAATGTATTCTTAATGGAGTTCCCGAGGACACACACTAGAAAAGGCGGAGTAGGCGAAACCCCTTTGACTTCACTTTTAGCCTACAGTTCAAGAAAACTAAGCCATGGGTAACAGAAGCAAACCAGCAATCTCACCCACTCTACTCACCCCCACATACATACACAGAGAGAAGTGGATTGCAATGCTCCTCCTCGGCTCTCATTTCCACAGAGTTCTTACATAAAAAGCTATGAGAAAGAATATGGTAAAGCCTTGAGGCATGGTATAGTTGGCAATAAAGGGGTTAAACAGCACTACTTTCCTGGAAACCTACCAATCCCCCAGCCAGGAATGCAATTCTCCTCACTACCTGTGTGTGTTACATATTTCCTAAAAATTCAGCAGATTTAGAGTTAAGAAAAACACCTCGAAAGAAAAAGAGAACTTGGTTCAGCTCCACCCTCCCTAAAGCAAATACCAACAACTCTGAGCCAAATCCACTCAGCATACACAAGACTCCATGGACATTCCAAAAAACAGGTGAAAAGAAGTTCAATTTCCTCAGGTATCTCACCTTTCAGCCCCAAATACTTAGCAGAATTCACAAATTAGTGAAACTCATGTTAGGTGAAACAAAAGCACACATAAAATTTCATTTAGAACTTGAAAAACATTTACAAGTCACAAAGGTCACTATAAATCAGCAAAAATAGCTCGAATTCGGGTGAGTAAGGTCAAACAGTACCCATGGAAACAAAAGCAAAACAAAAGGATACAGAAATAGAAGATACACAGGCCCTAAAGCTTAAGACTTAGCAGGAAAGCTCCCTAACTAGAGTGTCATGCTTATCCTAAAGAAACCTGGGAGAATGTTACTTTGATCATCAGTGAGGGAAGGTTGTCACTACTATTAAACCCACATTTCTGGGGGGAAAAAAGATAGTCACCAGATAAAAACAGGCACTGACTTGACAGCCTATAGTCACTGGTAAGGACAGTCCAGAAGCACCTGTCTTGATGGAAATAGGTAGGAAGAGATGAGTCACTATTTTAAATCTGTTCAGTACTCTCAACAGCTCAACCCTCTATGTCCCAAAGCATCATTATCTTCCTGTTTTCATCACTTTCTCAGTTTTCTTCCCAAACTTGTGGAGTTGCGTCAGAATGCTAATGGGTGGGGATAAGAGAAAAGAGAAAGAGGGAAAGTTAGAAACCATTTGGTTAGTAGAAAGAGACACTGGGGCGGCAGAGTGAATTACCTGGGAGAGAAGACTACAAAACTAGTTAGGAACGGTTATTAAGATCCAAGACGCCCTATCTTGGACAGCGCCCCCTATCTTTCCCTAGATAGAGTAAAAACCAAGCTTCAGTGTGGGCAAAGATAAGATACCACGGTGTTACATGAACACCAATATTCTTTCAGACTGGAAGTACCTGGCACCTGAGGAAAGCCTGACTCTTCTACAGGTCGGGAAAGAGGTTATCAGTGTAGCCTTGGGCACAGGAGGTAGCGGAAGAGCCGAGGAGACTGTTATCATGAAAGTGCATAGAAGACAATATAATCAGGTACTCAAAAACTTCCGGACCATTTTAGTCCAACTTCTTCCCCGTGGGGAAGGGTGATCACCACTCTTAAGTCAAGAAGGGCATATTCTTGAGAGAAGTTCCAATCCCCTGACAAGAGACCGATTAGCAACAGGGCAAAGAGACAGGTTCTCTGGATGGGGAAATACTGGAAAGCCAACTACCGTCATACCCAACGACCATAGGAACTGGGCAGGAACCCATTTCTGCAGTCACAAGGACAAACGTCCAAGGGAAGAGGGAAGGTAGCGCCCAAGTCAGGTAACATTCCTGAGGGGAAGGATTATCAGGTGACACCCGGCTGAGGGCCCAGAGAGGGGACTGGGCGGGAGCAAAGTTAGCAGGTGAAAGGGATCAAGCTTGGGGAAGGAAGTGACCTTTGAAGAAGCAAATAAGAAGATACCAAAAAAGGGGGGAAGGGTAATAAGAGAAAATGGACCCAGAAAAGCACTGAGGCTAGAGATAGAGAAGGCGTGTTCGGGTAACGGAGGAAGAAGAAAGGAAGTGGGGCTGAGAGGGAAGAGATAGGGCTGAGACTGTCCAGGGCTACGCGGGGTAAGGGCAGAACATGAGGGAGGGGAGAAGGGGGGTGAAGAAAGCCCTGAGGTTGCCAGGGCAAGAGCCGGGTGGGACTCCGGGGATTCCCGAGGTCCCAGAATGGTCGGAGGTCGGGCTCCGGAGCCCAGCACCGAGCAAAAGGAGGAAGGGAGGCGCGGGGGCGGCTCCCTAGAAACGGGCGTGCACCCCTGGGGCCAGCTGCAGGGGGTCTCTGGGTCCTGAGGGCGGTTAAGGGGCCAGCCTGAGGGAACCAGGTGGGAGGGACACTCACAAATTTCTTGGATTTGCCGCCGTCGCCGCCTGCCGAAGGCAGCTCGTCCGGGTTCCGGCCCTTCTTCTTGTCCCGGGTCCCGCGGCCGGGTCCCAGGCCCCCGCCGGGCGGCTCCATGTCCAGGTCTGCGTTGCTAGTGACCCCGCGCCCACGCCACTCCGCCCGGTAGCTCCAAGCCCGCCGCCGCTGCCGCCGCCGCCGCCCAGCAGCTTCTCAGTCCGCCGCCGCGCCCCGCCTCATTAGCATGCCGGGCTGCGCGCGCCTCATGAATATACAACGACGACGCCTCGCTCCCGCCCGCCTGCCCCACTTCCGCCCGGACCCGCAGCCCCTACCAACGGGGGAAGGGAGAGGGTGGAGGAAAGCCGCGGAAGCGCACTACCTGCCTGGCGGGCCTAACCATTTGGACTCACGTGGGGGGGTAGTGAGTGGGCGGTGTAACTCTCTGGGACAGCGCCGCCTGCCGGTTGGAGCGGCGCAGGCCTCCCTGCTCCCACGCAGTGCCCACGTGGCTGTGAAGCCTGAACCCTCTCACACCCCAGACCGAGATATTATCTGAACCAAAAAAATCGCATGAGAGAGACTTATCCTGGCAGAAAATTTAGTGCCAGGCTTTCCAGGATAATAGTTTTTATGTGTTCAATACCCATGGAGCACACGAAAAAATAAAGTGATAGCTACCATTTATGTGCCAAGAACAGAGCTTGGTTCAGGGCCAGTGCTAGAGCAAACTCTACTAGCTCTGGAGTTCAATTACCTAGTTCTAAATCCCAGGTCTACTACGTTCCATGTTCCTAATCTGGAAAAACTAGTTATTGCCATTGCTGTGCCTGAAACTTAATAATAGTTAACCATTTACCATACACTTGTTCTATGCCAGACCCTATGCAAAAACACAAGTATTTTCTTACTGAATCTCCACAATGGCATATGACAGATTCCACTAGTCTCACCATTTTAAGGACAGGAAATTTGTACAATGACAACTGAAGTGACTTGCCCAAGGACACATAATTGACAAAAAAAAAATTAAAACCAGGTTGGTCTGATTGCCAAGCCCTGTGTTTAAAAAGGATTCCCTACTGATATGAAGAACTAACTGGAAGACCCTGATGCTGGGAAAAACTGAAGGCAAAAGGAGAAGGGGACGACAGATGGTTGGATGGCATTACCAACTCGATTAACGTGAGTTTGAGTAGGCTCTGGGAGTTGGTGATGAATAGGGAAGACTGGCATGCTGCAGTCCATGGGGTCCCAAAGAGTTGGACACGACTGAGCGACTGAACTCAACTGAACTGACATAAACCAAACTGAGTGAAAAGAACAGGCATTCTTCAAAAGTGTTTTCTTTGCTCTACTAGCTTGATTCTTCCCTCACCAATTTCCTCCATTCTCCCAGCTACATCTGGTCCCTTGTGTGAAAAGCATGTGGCACCCAGTAGGCCTTCAAACTCTGGACTTAATTATCTTGCTCAGAACCAGCAAAAAATTTCAACTGCATGTTCCTGGAGGACAGTCAGTGACTCACTAGGGAGCCGCCAGTGCTCAATCTAGGGTCTGGTATGTTACAAGGAGTCTGCCAAAATGGCTGGCTCCTAAATCTGACCTTCAGCTTTTACCTTTCACTTTCTAATTGCCTGATGGAGAGTTGCATAGGACTGCCCAGCACACATTTCAACATCAATTTGTCCAAAACAGTCCCAAACAGCTACTTACTTTCTAAGCTAGAGTGTTGAGAAACACACAGGATCAAAGCATGGAAGGAGTGATCCAGGTATTACTCTTCTTTCCCATACCATTGTCTACATCTACTAAGGCATTTCTCTTCCTTCCTACTGGACTGTAAACTCCAGGGAAGAGTCCATATTTGTGGCTACTATAGTATCCAGCATCATTCTTCACATAAACAATGAAGATAATGAGCAACTGCTTATAGCAGGCACTGTGTTAAGTACCTAATATGTTTTCTCAGTGTATCTTAACTAGCATCACCAATCCAAACACCCAGGACTAAAAACCTGAAGTCATCCTCTATTCCCTCTCTTAAGCTACTAATCTGCCCAGGTTTGTCTAACTCATAATTAAAATGCTCTATTAATGCCCTATATGTGAGTACAATAATCCATGTAGAATCCATATGCACAGGTACTAATGTAAGGTAAGTGTTAACTATGTTAACTATGACTTTTATTATATACATCATCATCCCATTTCCTCTCTTCATACACAGGAAGCTAGTAAGAATATTCCTCCAAAGGCAAAAGGTACAAAAAATACCAACTTGGTTTATTGGATAAAAAGAGTGGTAAAATGGACATAAAACCAAAAGTCAGAACAAGACGTTTTCACATCCTCCCCCATCTCAAAACCGTACTTCCCATCATCTGGGCTAGGATGTTAAGGAGACAGAGCCCCCTAAAATCCTTTACTCTTCACCTTCACTGGAAGGCCTGTAGTAGGAGAACCCAGGAGAGGAGGAGGTCAAAGGCAACCTTACTCCTGTCTGCCCCTTCACTCCTGAAGTCTCTGGATTGGAAGGAAGTAGGGAAGGAATAAGCAAGCCAAAAGGGCTAGGACTGGCCTCTAGGGCCCAAGCCCAGGCTTTCCTAGAGATGGCTATCCCTGTCCCCATTCTATCCTTAATAGGTACCATTCTCAGGCCTTGAGGGAGAGAAGAAAGGGGTTGGTTCAAGAACCAGATGTGGTCTCCAAACCCTCCCCCAGCACTGGCAAAAGCTCTGAAAGTAACCTGACCAGGGGTGGGAGAACCACACTTTTTCCCTCCCACCCAACCAAGAGGTAAAAAGGAATTCCTGGGGACATAACAAGCCCAGCTCCTCTTAAATCTCCACGTCGCTTTCCTTGTCATTGTCATGATCTCCATCATAGAATTCGTTGGGTGCCTCTGGCCTACGAAGCAAGGGAAGAGAGAAAGAGAGGTCAGGCTCCCACTCTCCAAGTTCAGTCTTCTCCCACATAGGCACCCTGTCTGGAGCCACTTCTCAGGCCCCTACTGTCAGGGAACCACTCCTCTCCTTCTGATGGTAGAGACTGATTGCTATTCATTCATCCACTCATATAGTCAATAAACATTCACTGACAGACTACTCTGTGCCAGACACTGTCATAAGCCTTAGCGAGACAGGAGAGAATAAACCAGATGACATTTCTGCCTATCTTTAAAAAACTTACCTAATAAATGAGACTGACAATAACTAACAAAGTAAAAACAAAAATACGGTAATTTCACATGGTGGAAAGCACTATGAATAAAATGAAATAAAAGGATGTGACTAAGAGTTACAGGAGGAAAAGGGTAAAATTTCAGACAAGATTATTAGGAACAGATGTTCTGACAAGGTAAGACCTGAAGACTAAGAAGAAGCTGGACAGGCAAACATCTCAGGAAGACCACTTCAAGCTGTAAGAAAACCAAGTACAGAAGTTATAAGGTTATGAGAAAGACAGATGAGAAAAGTGAGAGAAGGAGGTCAAGACAGCTAGAGAGACAGTCATTAGAAATGAGACCAGGGACGAGGGTAAGGGCCAGCATGCAGGGCCTTTTAAAGTCATCATCAGAAATTTGGACTTTCTTCTAAGTGCAAGGGAAAGGAACATTTCTAGCAGAGAAGTGACATATTATAAACCTGTATGTAGTGGGTAAAGGGATATGAAAGCAATACAAGACCCAATATGTACCCAATTCTGATTTCTTTTTGGAAAATGTTCTCTGGGAGAATATGAATAACTAAGTTATCTTGCCCACAGCTGTTAACTGAGAAAGAAAGGAGAAAGTCATGAAAGAGAAGTTGGGGAACAAAATCAGGAAAGGCTCCCTCTGCCTGGAGAGCAAAGTCTCAGTTACCTCTAAGTGGGCAAGGGTTAAAGGTGAGGAGACTTGGGTTTGAATCTCAGCCCTGGTATTTAACTAGCTGTGAGAACTTCGGAAAGCTACTTAATCTCTCTGAACCTTAGATTCCTCTTCTGTTAATTTACGAATCGCACCTCTCAGGGTTGTCGGATGGCAAGAGAATGATGACTTGATGGCATTGTACCATGTATAATATAAATATCATATCCTATATGGCTGATATGCTACAAGCATCAAAGACAAGGAACTCAGTGGATAGTCCAACAGTAACAGGGCTTAGGACAGGAAGAGGCCAGAGGCTTCTGCTGGCTGTTGAGAACAGGCTGTATAATGTAGAGGCAAGGCCCAGATACCAACCTGGAATCACAGATGAAAAAAATAAACTTTTCTGAAAGGAAGAAACTGAAAAACAGATTTTTAAGAAGATCAGTTTCCAGAAGTCAAGCCTCAGAGACCTGGAGAAGCTGAGATTGAGATGATGGGTCAAAAAGGATCCCTGAGGCCAGATGTTTAGATACATCCTCAACCAAGAGAGGAAATGAAGGGGTACACATGGAGGAGAAGGGTTGGAGTGGTCCCAAGAATCTAAGCTGTAAAGCCCAGGTCCACGGAGAGATCTGGAAGTATGAACTCTTAAGACAGACAGAAGATTCTGGAAAGGACTGAGAAGCCCATCAGACTCTGCAGCAGAGTCAGCTCAGACTTCTTAACAGTGCGTGGGAGCAGGACCAGGTGTCCTGCAAACATCCAGCTGTGGTTATCCCCAGTCACGTAAGGAAATCTGTTCTCTATTAAATGCATCTGTTTCTGCACTTCTGGGTTCTCTTGTCTTTTTCCTTCATTTTTCAGAAAAGCTTGTTTCAGCTTTTGTGGTTTTTTTAAGTCTATTCTGGTTGCTTATTCTCCTAATTTAGTGCATCTGTAAATATTTTAATATGTATCTCAGGAAGGTAAAGATATTTAAAAAGACACACATACACACAATACAACTATCACACCTGAAAAAATTAACAGAGGAAAGAAATCCAAGGGCCTTAAAAGAGCAGTATATCTGCAGTGACCTGTCCATCTTGTAATCTGGAAAGAGTCAGTAAAATGCTGGCAAGAATATAAACTGTTACAGACTGTCTGGAAGGCAGTTTGGCAACAAATAAAAAAATACTTTACTGCACACAGCCTTTGACCTAGCAACAACAAGTCCAGGAATCTAACCCATTCAAGCACTCAAAAGACGTACATACACAGGGATTCACTGCCACACTCTTTGTAACAGTGAAAAAAACAGGAAATAATGTAAATGCCTGTCAATGGCACTTGGTTAAATTATAGCTATGTCCACACAATGGAATATTATACAGCTAATTAAATAACGAAGCAGATTTTTATATATATATTGGCACAGAAAGATACACTGGTAAAAAAAAAAAAAACTTGGAAATTGTAGAACATGTACAGAATGATCCAACTTTTATTAAAAAAAAAAAAAGACTGCACAACACTGAAAATTAGTGTATGTGTGCCCTTGTGTTTATACATAAATGTTGAACAGTGCAGTTGTGATCTACACAAACTGTAACATGGACTTAGAACTGGACATGGAACAACAGACTGGTTCCAACTCAGGAAAGGAGTACATCAAGCCTGTATATTGTCACTCTGCTTATTTAACTTATATGCAGAGTACATCGTGAGAAACACTGGGCTAGACGAAGCACAAGCTGGAATCAAGATTGCCGGGAGAAATATCAATAACCTCAGATATGCAAATAACACCACCCTGATGGCAGAAAGTGAAGAACTAAAGAGCCTCTTGATGAAAGTGAAAGAGGAGCGTGAAAAAGTTGGCTTAAAACTCAGCATTTAGAAAACTAAGATCATGGCATCCAATCCCATCACTTCATGGCAAATAGATGGGGAAACAGTGGAAATAGTGACAGACTTTATTTTCTTGGGCTCCAAAATCACTTCAGATGGTCACTTCAGCCATGAAATTAAAAGATGTTTACTCCTTGGAAGAAAAGTTATGACCAACCTAGACAGCATATTAAAAAGCAGAGACAAAAAAAAATAAAAAAATAAAAATAAAAAGCAGAGACATTACTTTGCCAACAAAGGTCCATCTCATCAAGGCTATGGTTTTTCCAGTAGTCATGTATGGATGTGAGAGTTGGACTATAAAGAAAGCTGAGCGCAGAAGAATTAATGCTTTTGAACTGTGGTATTGGAGAAGACTCTTGAGAGTCCCTTGGACTGCAAGGAGATCCAACCAGTCCATCCTAAAGCAGATCAGTGCTGGGTGTTCATTGGAAGGACTGATGCTGAAGCTGAAACTCCAGTACTTTGGCCACCTGATGTGAAGAGCTGACTCATTGGAAAAGACCCTGATGCTGGGAAAGATTGAGGGCAGGAGGAGAAGGGGATGACAGAGGATGAGATGGTTGGATGGCATCACTGACTCAATGGACATGAGTTTGAGTAAACTCTGGGAGTTTGTGATGGACAGGTAGGCCTGGCGTGCTGCAGTCCATGGGGTCGCAAAGAGTCGGACATGACTGAGTGACTGAACTGAACTGAAAAGTTTTACAATAAATGTATGTCACTTACATCATTAAATCAGGGCAAGAAAAAAAAGCATGGGACGGTTGCATACTGAAGAAGATAAACTGAGGACAATTAGACTAATGCTGTCTAACTTACTTTTCCCCTCTTACTTTTTCCCCCAAAGCTTGCTGGAATTCCCTGCTCTTATGTCCCTGCTCCAGACCTGCTGTAGTTTTCCTCGGGACCCCTCTCCTCCGCATCAGCCTCATCAGTCCTGTCGTAGGTTAGGAGGTCTGCCGGCACATCGTGAATCTGGACGCTAGGTGCATGGTTCAGCATCTTCAGGTTTTCAAAGATTGTCTGGCGGATCTGGTCCAGATACTGGTTGGGGATGAGGAACAGACAATGAGCAGCTCCCAGTGACTCCCAGGATGTCAATGCTTGTAGTTGCCTTTTGTCCCCGCAGTCCTAGTTTCAGTCCTATTTTGCATCTTAGTTTGAACCCCCCAGCTGGTAACTGTCCGTCCTCCCAACTCTGACTGCCTGTACTTTCACCGGGGCTGCCTACTAGCTGATAACAGAGATAGTGAGGGCTGAGATTCTCTTCCCTGGTTTCTCTGATTTCCCACATCCTGGACCTTTCCTTGGCTCCTCCACCCTTGTGCTCAGCTTCTCCAAGCTGCTGACCTGGCGTGAATTCTGATTCTCGATGCGGGTGCTGACATCAGGATGGAGCGTGAAGTCCGGGGCAAAGTACTCGAAGTATTCTTGGGGAAAAAGGAGGAGACATGATGGCTCAAATAGACACAGGCAGGTTCCAAGAGTTGCCTATCTCTTTCCTTTCCATCCAAAACACCTACATAACAGCTGCTCAACCTCTTCCCCTCTCTGGGCCCTGAGGTTTAGTCTGCAGAGCTCTGAGAAAGTCAAACTTCCCACCAGCTTTCAAACCAGGCCATTCTATGGTCTTGTGAGAATGGCCTTCTTGCTGTGGGGGCATCATGGGGTGGTCCTTACCGCTATAGGGAAGCTCTTCACTAATGGCCTCTTCTACCAGTAGTGATGTCTCATATGTCCTGAAACAAACCAGCAGGGCAGGCTGAGCGAGTGGGCTGAAAGGTCCACTGGCCATTTCTCAGGGAGCCCCTAGCTCACAATGTACAAGGGAGAGGAGAAAACATGGGGGCATGCTCACCAGCAGCGGGCAACATTCCGGACAGTGTAGCCACCACCACCTAGAACCAGCAGAGGGATATTGAAGCTCTTGACATATTCAACGCATTCTCTGTTAAAAGAAACCAGAGGAATGGGTGGAGGAAGTTTTCAAAAGCCAGAGAACACACTTCTAGAGACTAACTGGAAAGGGGCACAAGGAAACTAGGAATGCTCTGTATCTTGATATTGGTAGTGAAAAATCACTGAGTTATATCCCTGAGATATGCGCACTTTATTGTCTGCACGTTGTGTCTCAGTGAAATTTAAGACAGACTGCACTCTCACCTCTATCCTGCTCAGCACCCACCCTGGCACCCCACCTGTTAATCAACTAGTCTCACCAATGTACCAGCAAGTGCTGTCAGTTTAGCCACCAAAATATAACTCATATCACCTACCTCTCTCTCCCGCCACCTCCTCCAACTTAGCCCCCTGTCTAAGACAACACCAAGAGCTCCCTAACTGGTCTTCCCACTTCCTCTCCTGTGTGCCCAGTCCCACCCCAAACCTTTCTCCATTCAGCACTCAGAGCAGTGGCTTTTTTTTTCGGCCGTGCCTCAAGGCATGTGAGATCTTACTTCCCCAACCAGGGATCAAGCCCATGCCTCCTGCAGTGGAAGTGCAGAGTCCTAACCACTGAACTGCCAGGGAAGTCTTGAGCAGTCACTTTAAAACACAAGCTGGATCATGTCACTTCCCTGCTTAAAACCTGTCAACAGTTTCCCAACACATCTGAAATATAATCCAGATCTTAGCAAGATCTCAAGGCTCTGCACGACCCCAATGCTGCCGACTTCTCAGACGTCACCTCAAACCACCTCCAGCCTGCTCTCTGCGTTCCACCTGACTGGTTTTACTTCATCTCCTCCATGACACCCTCTGCCCTGTCTCGGCGTGTCTGCACGCACTCTTCTCACTGCTTGGGATGGACCTCTCTGTTCTTCTTATGGCTCACTCCTTTAGGCTCCAGGTCTCAGCTCAGAATTTTGGAAAACTGCTTCCAAATCACAGTATCTAAAGTAGTTTCTCCACTGTTATCCCATATCTTAACTTTCTATCTTTTTCTTCTATAGAATTTATAACAATCTACCTATCTTGTTTGCTCACTTATAGTTTTGCCTGTTTCCTAGGCTGAACCGTAAACTCCATGGGAGTTCCCTGACTGCTTCCCCATCTCCTAGTATGATGCCTGGAACACAACAGGTGCTTAATAAAAACCTAATGTGAATGTTGCCAACTGGGGAACCCTGCTCAAGATGACACTTCTGGTTCAAAGTACAACATGTAGCTATTTTTGAGTCCCAAAAGGAGGTGAGGCCTGTTTCCCGGCTACCCCTGTTCCATGTATTGAGGCCCAAGGCCACTTGAAAACCTGGGGGAGTAGTGGAAGGAGAGCAGTTCTCACCCGTGTCCTCTAATGCTGAGGTTGAAGCAGCCCAATCGATCACAGCCCAGAGAGTCAGCTCCACACTGCAAAAATCAAAACCCCAGGTGGCTGCAGTGAGAGAACTACTCAGAATGTCACCAATGTCCTTCACTTCCCTTCCCCCACCAGCCTAGGGATTCTCCTCTTTCCTGCTCTCTTCCCTCAAGCCTGAGTGCCTGAGGAGGCACTGACCATATTACCTGGAGCACAATGCACGTGGGTTGGTAGAAGTCCACCACCTGGTTGATAACTGGCTGGAAAAGGTGCTTGTAACCTGGGAGAGGGCCAAAGATGGGCACCTGGCACCCCAAGGGGATGGGGAGACAGGGAACAAAAGGAAAAAAGGGGGTTCAGAGAGCATGTAGCCCAGGAAAGGGGCAACCCAAAGGGACAACCATTGGTTCTGAACTTCTCGGTGGGGAAGTTCATGAGACTTCTGGAGGGACCGATGGAAGCTAATGACCTTTTTCCCAGAAAAATGCACATACACACAATATGTTGCATACAATTTCCAGGGAGTTCATGGTCCCTCTGAAGGCCATTCATCCTGAAGGACACCTGGCCCAACAGTAGATAATACCAGGCAGAAGAGGTTAACTCAAGGAGGGAGAGAGAGAAGGAGTCTAGTGAGCAGGGAGAAGACTTTAGTACGTACTCTGGTCATCAATGCCATCCCGCAGGGGTACGTTGAGGCAGTAGTAGCGGCCACTCTCTGCTCCAACTTCATACATGTCACCTGTGGGGAAGAGGGGGGTGGGGGTGCCGGCTGCTTCAACCCCACCATGTACTCTGAGGGCCTCTCACTCCATCTTTGTACGTCCGCCACACACTCCCTCAAACCACTACGTCTCTTGCAGCTTGCATTCATTCAACAGATACTCTTGGAGGGCCTACTATGAGCCAAGCTGTGAACTAGGTATCGGGATACAACAGGAAAAAGAACTAACGAAATAAATGAAATCGCACCAAGCTCATATTCTTGGGAGATAGGCATGATTAGGTGGGAGACAGTAAACAAAACAAAACCCCACAATAAATTCAGACAGCAATCAGTGCTTGAAAAGAAAAAAGCAGAGTGATGTGACAGAGTAACAGGGTGATCAGGAAAGGTTTCTCCAAGGAGGGGCCACCTGAACTGAGACCTGAGCCTGCGGAGGAGGCAGTCATGGTAAGAGCTGAGGAGTATGAAGGGGACAGGCATTCCTATTCCCATACCTGTGCCAGGGAAGAAGTAGTTTCCATACTTGTGGAAAGATACTGTCATGACTCGGTCAGTGAGGTAGAAGGCTTCCTGAACCCCATCGCCATGGTGGATGTCAATATCAATGTAGAGCACCCGAGGGTGGTACCTAGGGTGAGGGCAAAGCCAGCGTCTGAGGCAGAGGTGAACCCCAGGAGGAAAAGCCCCCATCCCACTCCTCCCAAACACAAGGCCAGAAATTATGAAGATTCTGCTTTGGCCCAAGTCACCTGAAACCTAATACCACCAGTTCCCTAAGGGCAACCCTGGGGCTCCAGCCTGGAGGCAGGGACAGGAGAGGGATGTGCAGAGAAGGCTGAAATGTGAGCAGGCAGCGGGGAATCTGCAGCAGAGCACAGGAAGAGGCAGCCTGAGAAAAGCACCAAGAACTTGGGAGAAGCTAGTGTGGGGCTGGAGGTCAGGGTCAGAGCCAGGGCAGTCTCAGACCTCAGCCAAGAGCCTCATAAGTGGCCCCATCTCCTCCCGGGCTACTTACTTGAGCAGCTCCAGGATGCCAATCACAATGTCATTGACATAGCAGAAACCAGAAGCCTATGGTAAGATAGTATAGTGCTATTACAAAGAAGAACAATTCCTCCACCCAGCTGCCCCCCAACTGCCATCCTGACCTCCTACCCTAGCGGAGCTGTTGTCTCCCCCATTACCTCCTCACTCACCTCAAACTTCTTGGCGTGGTGCAGACCACCAGCCCAGTTAATGGCAATATCACAGATCTGAAAGACAAATGCCTAACTCATAATCCTTCTCCTGCCCACCCCCAAAGCTGGGAGCTCAGGATCACAGTTAAGGCCTTGGATTCAGGGACCCACAGGAAGGGGTAAACAGGACTCGGGGTACAGTTACCTTGTTGTTCAGCTGGGTTGCTCCTTGCAGAGATGCGCCTGTGTAACGGGAGCAGAACTCAAACAGCCCGGGAAACACGGGGCTGCAGGAAGAAGAGCAAGTCGGAGCCCTTTTTCCTGTGTCCACTTCCTTCCTTCACCCTTCTCCCCAGCTCAAAGCCCTATAGTCTCCTTTCTTCAGTAACCCCTTCTGCCCCTCCTACATACCCAAGTTACCTGCAAATTTATTCAACAAATATTTTGGACCAAACCATATACTGAGACTTGTTCGAGGCACTGGATGGGAAGTAGAGAAGCACAGTGATTGTACTGCTAGTTGCACAAAGAGCAATCACAGGGCCCCAGGCTGTGGGTGAGGGTGGACTTTACATTCCCAGACCTATAAAGTAAACTCAAAACTAGCAGGAGCAATAACACAAAAAACAAGAAAGCTCCCAAGACAGCACGTGCCTGAACAACCCAATGAGCAGGGCAGTGTGTGCGGGACAGACCTCTGGGGCTGGTGTGGTCAAGAAAGCCTTTATGGCATGAAGCTTTGTGGTGGCTTGAAGGCTGTGAAGGCCCTGGAGGCTGAATGGGGAACAAAGGGTATTCTGAGAAGATACCCTGTGCAGCAGAGGTGTGGGGATAAGGTTGGCAAGGTGCTCATTGCTGGCCTAAGGAGTCGGCCTCAATCCTCCAGCCCGTCTGCTTCTATTGGTAGGCCCTTTCGGGGAAACCAATTGGTGTAGTGTTTAAAAACCTAGCCTCTGGACCTGAATCCTGCCACTGCCACTGTCCAGGCTAAGTTATCAAAATCTCCTCAAATTTCAATGTATGTACTTAATGCTTACCATCATGAAAAGGACTATTATATCTCAGGGTTGGTGTAAGAATTAAGTGGATACACCAGTAATCCTCAGCACAGCAGCATAAATTACTCAAGAAACTGTAGCTGTTATAGGAAACTATAGGATCAACAGCCTCATTTCATCAAAAAATAAATTCAAGGAATTCCCTGGCAATCTAGTGGTTAGGACTCCATGTTTCCACTGCAGAGGGCCTGGGTTCAATCACTGGTCAGGGAACTAAGATCCTGCAAGCCAAGGCATGGCAAAAATAAATAAATTCAAAGGCGAGAAGGAAACATTAAGGGTTAAAAGTCTTAAGAGATGGAGCCACCAAATACAATATGTGGACCTTGTTTAAATCCTAATTTAAATAAATCAACTGCAAAAAAGAAAAAAATGTGAGACAACTGGAGAAACTTAAGTACTGACTGCACATTTGATAATATGAATTACTATTGATTTTTCAGGTGTGACGACACTATGCACTTTTTTAAAGAGTATCATTTGGAGATATATGGTAACATATTTATAGACAAAAGGGAGTTACATCTCAAATTAGTATTAAAATAACCTAACGTGCGGGGACAGAGATGAAGCAAGATTAGCCATCTGCTCTAAGTATTGCAGCTCTGTGATGGATAGATGGGGGTTCACTGTACTATTCTACTTGCAGAAATGTTTAAAATTTTCCCTAATAAATAAAAAGTTTAAAAATGAATGGAGCAGCTGGCACTATCTTTCAGTGGATGCAGACTAGAGTGGAAGCAAGGATCATGGCTTATCTTTGTTAGCCACCTTTTCCCCACAAGACTCTGAGCTGACTTCTCATATGAAATAAGCTCAACATAAATGTGGTCGTACCTAAACACTCTCTTGCTTTTTAAAACCCTCCAATGACTTCTCCTAGAAGTTAAAAACCCCAATTCAAAATAGGGCTGTTTATTTTTTAAAGGCCCTACCTATTTCTTTAGACACAATTCAGATCACTCTTCAGATATCATGCATGGCCTTTTTTCTGTTCCTTAAATAAGTCACACTCTGTCCTGCTGCAGACCCTTAGGGCATGTTGTCCCTACTTCCCATTCCTCCCCTCATCCTCCATCCTCCCATCTTTCACCTAATTACTTCCTACTTTCTTTAGAACTCAACCCAATTTTCATTACTTCCTCTAGGAAGCCACCACTGACCAGCGCCAGCCCAGGCTAGATAATTCTCCCGTGTCTACCCTCTCACAGTCTGTCATGTACCTCTCCTCTAAAGGACTTAGCACAAGGGCTATATTAAAATTGTGTTGGTATTGTTTATCATTGCATCCCTAGCACTTAGCATAGGGCCTGGCCCACAGCCAATAACCAATCAATATTTGTTGAATAAGCAAATGAGTAAATGATGATTCATTGACAAGTATTCCCCACCCTACCCACCTACATATCTTCCATTGCTGCCATAAGACCTCACTCGAGTATTCTCACTGAAATGCCTGGCATCAAGGTTCCTGGCATCAAAGGTCCCAGTTCTCCCCTTACCAGTCATCGCCCACGTTGAAGGCATTAAGGCTCTTGGTAAAGCCTTGCATATTGGTGGGGCTGACTCTCTGCAGGAAGTCGATGTAGTCCTCAGAGTGGAAGCGGCACATGTCATGCTGGGAGGCCTGGTATGGCTTGAAGACCTTGAGAGGGAAACACAAGATGAAGTCAGGCAGGGTCAGTCCTACTCATCCGGCTGAGACTGACCACACTGAGCCCAGCCCTGGGGACTGTCCAGAACCACACACAGCAGTCCCCTCGCCCCCTCCCCTCCAATCCTTGTTATTCTATGAGACAAACGTCTGTGAAGAAGAGAGACTCTGATTAGCTTGAGAGTTTCTTATGATCAAGCCCTCTAAAGACCACTGGGCCTGCCTTTTCCTTCCTACCTCCAGCCCAGCCTTTTCTACCTTCTCAAACTTTAACTCCCTTCACCTTCCCTGTTCCCTGGATCTCCTATTCCTTATTCTCATCATACTCATCTCCCCTGGGTGCTGACTCTGTCCTCTCTCTCCTCTGAGTTCTTCTTAATTTTGGAATCAAATAATATGGGACACACAACAACCTTCTAATTAAGACCCAAGATGCCCAGGTGCTAAGCCAAAGATTTATTATCTCTTGAGAGGATCACACGCTTTAGAAATTGGACAAGAGCAAAAAATTTTTCCTCCCCAGAAAATGCTCATAGGCACACATAGGCAAACAATTTCAAGAGCCAGAGATTCAGGCATTAACATCACCTCAGTCGTTCCTATGATCAATTCACTAGTCTGTGGCTCAGCACAAGCAGTGGACAGTCATTCATGCTGCTGGCTAATTCCCCTTGCAATGCACAAGGGCCGTGTGTTATGATCACATATCACACTGCTATAAATTCCAAGCCAGGGACAGACAGGATGTGTATACAGGGGGAGATGGAGGAATGAGTAGTAATTAAATGGAACTCTGTGTGTGGGCGGGGGTATTCTAGATTGAAAAGGGAATATCCAGAACACCTCCTACTGTCCTCCACACACATAACACATTTACACACAGGGCTACAAAGTCCTCCCTAGAACTCTAGCTTGGCGGAGGAGAGAGGTGGCAGAGGAGAAGGGGTGGGAATGAGGGTAAACCTCATATCCAGATACACTGAGCCAGCAGCTTTCCCTTCTCTGAGGCCACAGAACTGTCCTAAGATGCAAGGGAGGGAAATACTCTGTGTCTGCAAACCAGCTCCACTCCACACTAACCGTAGGCCAAAGGTTGGTCCACTTGAGGTCAAAAGGTGGCCAACCTAAAAACTAACTCTTATTAAGTCAGTGGATGCACCCACCAACATTCTGCATATGGGGTGCTCCTGGTTCCGTCTATCCACCTCCCCCCTGCCTGGGGTGGGTCACTCTCGATGCATTCAGTGCAGCCTACCTATCCCTAAGGCCGCAGCTCGTCCCCACCCTCAATCCCCAGCAGAAGCCGTGAGACTCACGATCATCTTCTTATAGAGGCCGTAGTGCAGGACCAGACTATGAGTCAATGCCAAGCGATGGGGCTTCATCGGGTGACCAGCCCCTGGGGGTGGGAGAAGAGAGTTCGTCAGTACCCATCCCTGGAGTTGTAGGCCCGGCTTCGAAACCTCCGCGTCCCGAAATCCCTCGCGTGCAATGTTGCTCCCTCACCGTAGTGGAAGTTGCCCACGTCGGGGTCGTAGAAATAGGCCACAGTCTTGGCCATGGTGCCGGCGGGACCAGGCCCCGCGCCTCCGCCGCCAGCCTGTCCACCTGCCCCACCCCCGGCCTTGCGTGCTGCGTAAGCACGCTGCCTGCCTCTGCGGAACCAGGAAACCCAAGCCCGACTCCCCTAGACCACGCCCAGGTCACGCCTCCTGCGGAGTTCAGCCCTCGGCTTGCTCCGCCCTTCTAGGTTCTGGGGCGTGAGCGTCTGGGCTCGGCCGGAGGACAGTAGCATCGGTCCTAGGATGACAGGGCCATTTCCTTCCCGGCGGGGGTCAAATCCTCAGGAAGCCGATCCATCCTGTCCAGCTACCTGTCCCAAGCGAGGCGCAGGCCGTGTCGCCTCTTTAGGAGGCTCCGGAGAACCGGCCACGCTGACCCTCTCAGGTGCAGAAAGCCAGCTTCCCCCGGCCCTCTGCGGAAGATACCCAGCTACACATCCAGCCGGGGCATCTGAGGGCTGGAGCCAAGCCAGGCGTGCCCAGTAGACCAGTGGAGAGCGCTCTCGCCTGACTGCCCGTCCTCCTCACCCGGACCCAGACTCGGCACCGCACCGTCACCGGGCGGCAGTGGGGGGGCTGCGCAGTCACGCGCGCACCACACTTGCGCTCAGAAGCGCGCAGGGCTCTCTCTCTCCGCCCCGCACACCTGGGCTCCGCCCCCTGGTTCCCGGCCGGCGGGTCGAAGGCTTTGGGGAACCCAGAGCGGCTGCGGCAGCGCCCCCCTTCTCCTTCTCTTTCCACGGCTGGAGTTGTCCGGAGCCTGTCGCCGGTCCCAACCAGCCCTCATCCCTTTCCATCCTTCCCTCCCCCCACCCCTGCCGCGGCACGGGTATCTGCAGCCGCAGCCCGGAGCCCTTGAGGCGGCGAAGGGGGGAGGGGAAGGAAGCGAGGGATGAGCGCCGGGAGGGCGTCGGGGGCCCTGAGCCGGACTAGGACGCCCCTGGAACCGGAGCCGGAGCCGGAGCCAGAACCAAACCACCGGTACCGGGTGGGCCAGGTGGTCAGGTCGGGAGAACCCGAAAGGCGGGAGGGGGTGTGTGTGAGACAGTACAGGAAGGGGAAGGGGCTGCGGAGGCCTGACTCAGGCCCGCTCAGAAGAGATGTGGACGCTGACTCAGGCACTATCCTTGTGCCGGCCGCCTGAGAATTCCGTCCCATCTCGCTCTGCAGTGTCCTTGGGAGGGACGAAAGCTCAGGACAAGCTGGAAAGGGGGAGCTCTGGGCGTCGGGGAAGCGGGACCAGGGTCGTGGAAGAGGGCTTGAGCAGCCGCCGTCTAACACCCCTGGCCCGGACCAGCACCCCTGGCACGGACAGCTCCTTGGTTGGGTAGGGGGTGGGGCCAGACCTCAAAGGCTTGTCTGTCTCTCGAATCCTGAGGACGGCATTCCTAACCCTCCCCCCATCCTTAGCTGCAGCCCCCTAACTCCAGGAGCCGCCCTGGCCCGTGCTCACCCGCCAGGGCCTCATGTCGGAACCACAGCCTGACCTGGAACCGCCCCAACATGGGCTGTACATGCTCTTCCTGCTCGTGCTGGTCTTCTTCCTCATGGGCCTTGTAGGCTTCATGATCTGCCACGTGCTCAAGAAGAAGGGCTACCGCTGCCGCACCTCGAGGGGCTCGGAGCCTGACGACGCCCAGCTCCAGCCCCGTGAGTGAACAGCTTAGAACCTGACTCAATCACCTTCCTCCCTCACCCTTCTCCCCACACCTCTTCCTGGCCAACAGACCCAAGCTAAATCCTGACCAAGATAGGAGGCCTAGTAACGCTTTCTTGAGTCAGTAAGTGGGGTGCCACTACCCTGAGTAGGGCTAGAGAAGGCACCATGGGTGGGAAGGGCCCACTGGTGGTAGTCTTGGACTCCCGCTAATTTTCCCTTCTTTTCTGCCCTGGCCCTTGAAATGCTAAGGTACAGCATGATGCAGTTTGGTAAAGAGGTAGGTCTTGAGCAATAAGTCATAGAAGCCACCAGGTAATGTACCCTCAAAGTTGACTCATTTCCCTCTGCCTCACCAACTTCTTTCATCCTTCAGCTGAGGACGATGACATGAATGAGGACACAGTAGAGAGGATTGTTCGCTGCATCATCCAAAATGAAGGTGGGTGTAGGCTGTCCCTTTGTCCCCCACCTCCTCGACTTTCTCTTGTCCTGGCCTTTGCCTCCACTGACCCCTTCTTTTCCTTCTCCCCTCAGCCAACGCTGAGGCCCTGAAGGAGATGCTGGGGGACAGTGAAGGAGAAGGGACAGTGCAGCTGTCCAGGTGAGTTGGAAACACGGGCCAGTATGATTTAGCTTGCCTTGGAAAGTATCCTCTCCTCCAGCACATTCTTCTCCCAGTCTCCTTGCATGATTAGGGTGACAGGGGAGAGTAAGGCTGAATAACGGACAGGAAGAAGAAAGTTTGGTAGAAATCCTGAATCCTCCAAACCACATCTCTCCTTTAGATGTCATCAAGCCTAACCTTCATCACTTATGCCACTCCCCTGGGTTATACATTGCAAACTTTCTAGCCCTGGGAGGGAAAACAACACATGGTCAGTAACATCTTCATGTTCAGTTTATTAGATAAAGACAATAAAAGAATGGTGCAGCCTGGGGGAAGTGGGACATCTAGGGGGGGTTAAGGAGCACACTGAAAGAACGGGAACAAACAGGAAGAAAAATGGGAATGTTCCCCCCTGCTCCCTTCCTCCCTACCATCCAGCGTGGATGCCACCTCCAGCCTGCAAGACGGAGCCCCCTCCCATCATCACACAGTGCACCTGGGCTCCTCAGCCCCGTGCATCCACTGCAGCCGCAACAAGAGACCCCCACTTGTCCGTCAGGGACGCTCCAAGGAAGGAAAGAGTCGCCCCCGGCCTGGGGAGACCACCGTGTTCTCTGTGGGCAGGTGGGTATAGAGTACCCCAGTGACAGGGAGGTTGAGGTGGGGGTCCAGTGCTCAGGCATTTGACTCCAAAGGTGGGCCCTGGCTCTTGCTTCCTGGACTGGGAGCTACAGCAGGAGTCAGGCTGCACAATATGCCCCACAGAGGCTGTCTCCCATGTCCCAGAAGGACATGGCTATCAAACCCAGGATGTCCCTGACCAGAAGGAAGGGCCAAGCAGTCTCTGAGTGGTGGCCCTAAGCCCGTGTCCCCTCCCCTCCCAGGTTCCGGGTGACGCACATTGAGAAGCGCTATGGGCTGCATGAGCATCGTGACGGCTCTCCCACGGACAGGAGCTGGGGGTCTGGTGGGGGGCAGGACCCAGGGGGTGGCCAGGGGCCTGGGGGAGGGCAGCCCAGGACAGGGATGCCTGCCATCGAAAGCCTTCCCCCTGAGAGGCCGCAGCCCCCAACCCTCGCCAGCACCCCCATGCAGAATGGAGGACTCAGGGACAGCAGCCAAGTCCCTCATGCACTTGAGGGGAACCCTGGAGCCTCTGCAGAGCCGATGCCCGGGGCTGGAGGGAGGGGCCCAAGCCCAGGGCCGGCCAGAAAAGAAGCAAACGGACAGTCAAGCAAACAGGACACCTCAGATCACCAGGTATGAAGACATGGCCAGCGCTGCAATGGGCTGAGCTCTTATTGTCCCTGCTCTGCAAGGGCACTGGTATGACCCACGTCCTGTTCTCTCATTGTCCTCCCCTCCTCTCTCTCAGGTGTCCCCACCACGGGGAGCAGGGGGGATGTGAGGTGATTCTGCCTGGGCCCCAAGTCAATCTCATCCTCCCAACCCCTAAATGAAACTACCTCAGCCCATTGGTTCCCTGAATTCCCGGGGTCAACCACAGGCTCAGCCTTTGGTACATATTCCTTGGTTTGGTGGTGGGGAGCTGCCATGTGCTCCAGGGAGTAGGGAAGGTCCCGCAGCCTCTGGGGAAAAGCAGGGGCTCCGCTTGAATAGAAGGCAACAGTCACCCTTCCTTTCCTCCAAGCCGCCTCCTTCACTGTGCTGACGGACTACCAGCTGGCAGGCCAGGGAGTGGGTGGGCATGAAGCCCCTCCTCTCCACTGGACAGCACTGCCCCCCAGCTGAGGGACACACTCTACTTCCACCTGGAGTTGCACAGTCTCAGGCTGGGGGGACCTGGGGAGAAGTCCCATCCCTGGCCCTCAGCCTCTTCCCCTTCCCCTGCCTGCCCGCAGGCCGCCTGACCCACCTTCCCCATCACCTCACTCCATGTGCTACAGCGTGGCGGCTGGGAGCAGGCCCCTGCCCTTGGTGGACCCTTAAAGCAATAGCACCTTAGGCCCTCTGTCCTCTTGGCACAAGAGGCCCAGGCCCTGGCTCGGGCTTTGTGCCCTTTATTCACTGTCAATAAATCCGCTCAGACCATTACAGCTGCTTCGAATACTGGCTCCAGCTCCTTCTGACAGGCCTATCCCCATCCCAGGCCCCAACCCCAGTGGCACTGGCATCTGGAGTGGGGTGGTTCACAGAATCAGGGTGGAGACACAAATAAGCCAGAGTCACTCAAGACTTTGGGGGACAAATTCCAGTCCCAGAGATTTCAGGGTAGTTCACCACCCTAGAGATGGGGTGGTGGCAGAAGAGAAAGGGGGTACTTTCAGCCCCAGAGATGGCTGAAGGATCATGGGGGAAAAGGAGTGGGTTCCAGCCCCAGAAATGGGTGAAGTAGTGTCTATCCCTGAAGGTGAGAACGGAAATCAGGGAGATTCCAGCATTTGACTGTGTTGCTTTGGATCACCATGGGGAGGGGCAGTCTGACAGCACGGAGATGGGGCAGCAGCATCACTAGGGGATGGACAGTCCCCCTGGCTTCAGGTGAGGGGATCTGGGTGGCCAGGATCTGGGGCTTTAGCCGGCGGGGGAGGCGGTGGACGCATCTGTAGGAAACACACAGTCAGTGCTCCTGAGGCTTCCCTTGGGGATATCCGGTCCATTCCCTCTGCTCTGCAGATAAAACAGGACAAATTGGACTGACCCCTCTTCCAACACTCTCCTCCAAGGGAGGGGCCCTTACCGGCCTGAGTCGAGGTGCCATCATATCCAGAGACCCAGGGCAGTCCAGGTCTTGGTCTGGAAATAAGAACCGCAAGTCAGCCTTCTGACTTTATTTTGTTCACTTCTGTATCTCCAGCACTTAGGACCATGAAAGTCACTCAGTTGTGTCCAACTCTTTGCAACTCCATGGACTGAATTCTCCAGGCCAGAATACTGGAGTGGACAGCCATTCCCTTCTCCAGGGGATCTTCCCAACCCAGGGATCGAACCCAGGTCTCCCACACTGCAGGCGGATCCTTTACCAGTTGAGCCACCGGGGAAGCCCAAGAATACTGGAGTGGGTAGCCTATTCCTTCTCCAAGAGATCTTCCCAACCCAGGAATTGAAGCAGGGTTCCTGCATTGCAGGTGGATTCTTTACCAACTGAGCTACTAGGTCCATGGCACTCTGTAAATATTTTCTGATTTAACAGTCACTAACCTGGGTCATAACATCCATCAGTCCATCTAACCTCAACACTTACTGGGCACCTGTTTTATACTCAGCCCTGCTAAAGGTACCAGAGTAGGGGAGGTGGGATCAGAGCTCCCCCAACCCTAATGGCTGTCAGCGACTGAATAATGAAACACCAACAAACACAATGAATGAGTACTAAAGGATTCAAAGTAAACTAAGGGTGCTAGAGAAGCAGGGTGCAGAAAATGCTAACAGGGGCTCCAGGGACAGGGAGAAAGATGCAGAGAAGAAAGTGGAAATACGTTTTAGAAGAGATGGTTTTGGAAAAGATGGATGAGGAAAATGATGATGCAAACCAGATGTTTGCAGGATTCAAGAACACTAAGGATGTGTATTGGGAAAACACTGTGGGAGAAACTGGTTAATTTTAATAATAATAATAATGAGAAACAGTTATTAATTGCATGCTTGCTATGTGCCCAGCACAACGCTGGGTACCCTACAGACATCTCTTTACCTCTCAAAACTTAATGAGGGAGGAACCTTCCTCCTCACTCTGTAAAGGCCCAGACAGGTTAAATTGCACGCTAGGAAGTCTGGGCAGAGTTTGAACAGTGGGCCTGGCTCCAAAGCCCAAACTCTTCTACCATCAAGCCTCAGAAAGGCTGAGGGAGGAGGTTCATGAGGGCAAGCAAAGGGGCCAAGTGTAACCCAAGAGTCCCAGACTTCCTGTCTCTTACCCTCCCGGGGGCCCAGCTCCTTCTACTCACCACCAGGCAGGACAGGTGCAGGGGATCCATCCACAGCAGAGGTGGGTGCAGGAGGGGAAAAGCTGGGAGGGGAAGGGGATGGCAGTATCTGGGAATGAGAGGGCAAAGGCTTATTCCTGGCATGTGGGAAGATTTCACCAGCTATTCTTCTCATCCCATCTTCAGTTCCTGTCCCATCACTTCCCAAGCCAGAGAGCAGCCAAATGCTTGTATATGGGTAGGGTTGTAGGTGATACACATTTCAACAGCCCATATGTATTGACACTTGATATGTCCCAGGCATTTTGCTGACACTTCACATGCACTAAAAATTTATTCATTCCTCTCCACCAACCCATGAAGGAGGTATTTGATGATTACTATGTCCGAGGTGAGACTCAGATTAAACCATCTATCCCAAATCACAAAGCTAGTTAGTGACAAAATCTTGATAGAACAATAGGTACCATATATCAAAGCACCTCCTAGGAGCCATTGTGCTAAGCGTTTTACCTCCATTATCTCAAATCAGGAAAGTGAGTCTCTTGAAAAAGATTATCATTATCCCCCTTCTACATGCATATGAAGAAACAAGCTCAGCGAGGCCTAATCATTGCCTAAAGTAATCAAACAGGAATCTGAACTTAAATCCAGCTCTAAAACAGGACAACCAAACTCTTATGAAGACTGCCTTGCTTTCCCTTTTCTCTGTGCCAAAGGAGATGGGGAGACCCAAGCCACAATACAGGGGATGGGGCTTTAAGATGAATATGGGACCTCCGTGCATGGGAGGGTCAACCAGAAGTGCCTGGCGACCCAGGAAAAAGGAAGGCTCACCTGCTCAGGGTCTGAGAGTTCAGATGGCCCTAGGGGGCCAAGTAGCTCCTCCACCAGCAGGGAGGGGAAGACCCCAACATGGCCCCCAAATTCTCCCCTCCAGAAGCCGTCATCCACTCCATCCTGGGCCCGGGGCAGCAGGCGGATGAGCGCCCCCTCAGGGAAGCTCAGCTCCTCGGCACTCTGTCCAGTGTAGCTGTACAGGGCACGGGCCAGGAACGCTGTAGAAGCCCAGGAGAGATGGTGAGGGGAGGAGGTAGGCAGCGTGCCCTGGACCACAACACCCCAGGGCCACAATGGCTCAGCAATTCTTGTCCCTTTCTTACCTGTGGGCTCCGCCCCCAAAGGGTTGTCGCTGTCACGGCTGCTCTCAGGGAAGGAGAGGTCCGCGAAGTTGAGATAGCGCTCAGGGACAAAGCCTACCTCACCGTGCTGGTTCCGAGCCTGCTCTCCCAGCAAAGTGAACAGAAAGTGGGCTTGCCTCAGCTGTCCACAGCCCTGGCCCTCCTCCACTCAGGCTTCCAGCTTTTCTGGCTGGGTCTTTATGGGCCACAGAGAAGTCCCTCCCACTGCTCCCTTGCCAAGGTCTGAGCCCCAGGTCCCTACCCACCTTGACCCATTCGTCGGCATCTCCCTCCTCTATGACCTCCAGCCACTCGCCCTCTGTGATGGTCAGCTCGTCCTCACGTCCTGCCTGGGCCCCATAAAGAAGAATTCAGGACTGGCTGTCCCCTAGCCCTGATGGTCTGAGGTCCTTACCCCCATTCACACCTGATAGCCAAACACCACATGGGCAGGGCAGGGGAGGGGCCTGGTGGCCAGGGCTGGGGGGGCGGGCTCCTCAAAGAGCTCCCCAGTCTCCTCACATTCCTCAAAGTCAGACAGCTCAGCATCCTCAGCCTGTAGGGACAGAGAACAGACATCACTGTGAGGCCCGGTCTCAAGTACCCTCTGTGTCTCCCATTCCATCCTCTTGTTAACCTTGTGGATCCTCCTCCAAGGCAGTACCAACCAACCATTCACTCTGGCTCACAGGGAGTCATCAGAGAGCAGGAAAACACTAATGATAATCACAGGGTTACAGTAGTGAGTGCTTACTGTGTGCCAGGCACAGTGCTATGTATCTTATGTATGTTGTCTTGTTTAAGCTTCTTAATGGCACGCATGCTCAGTCGTGTCCAACTCTTTGCAACCCCTGCCGGGCTTCTCTGCCCGTGGAATTTTCTCAGGCAAGAATACTGGAGTGGGTTGCCATTTCCTACTCCAGGGAATCTTCCCAACCCAGGGATCAACCCACATCTGCACCTCCTGCATGGGCAGGCGGGTTCTTTACCACTGGCGCCACCAGCGAAACCAAGTTTCTTAATAACCCTGTGTTATTTTGTGAAACTACCAACCTCATTTTACTTATGAGGAAATTGAGGCCCAGAAAGCTTAAATTACTTTCCAAGATCACACTGCTAGTAAATGCAGTGTCTGGTACTCAAACTGCTTACAGCCTGCTCTCAGGACCTTAGTTCATAACCACCATTCTATGCTCACAGTAAAAGTTAACTGAGAACTCTGTTACAAACTGTGCCAAGAATTAAACACCTAAGTGATTCCATTCAAGCCTCACAACAACCTGTTGAGTTACGTACCATTGTGATTCCTGCTTCATAAAGTCTGCTTTCCACTAGGGCTCTTTACCCTCCCAAGTGTGTAAGGCTAGGGAGTGGAGGGAGCTCACCGTGGGAGAGAAGTCCCTCTGGGACAGCCGGGCCTCGCTGAGCCGTCGCTCCTGCTCCACCTCATCCTGGGCCTGGGTCATGGCTGGCTTCAGCCAGTGCTGCACATCCAGGCCAGCCCCCTGCAGCAGGGCCAGTCGGGCAGCCCCCTTCACCTGGCTCACCTAACATGGGGAAGAGGGATCAACTCAGGCGATGGCTGGGTCTGCCTTTGGAAAATGAGTGGAGCCTCCCCAGATATGTCCACCCTCTACTACCTCCTGCTTACAGTCTCCCCACCATCAGATGGAGTGGAGGAGGCCTGAGGAGGTGTGATCTCAGTGGCCCTAAACCCCCAGCGTGGTGCCTCACCTGTGCCCTTCGGATGCTCTCCCTTACTTCCTGCAGCCGCTGTTCTATGCCTGGAGCTTCTCGCTCTGGAGCCTGCTGCCGCCTCTGCTCCAGCCGCTGCAGCACCTGGTTGGGGAGGTGGAGGACAGGGGAGGGTGGAGACACCATGGGGCACAACTTAGAACAAACTGGTAGTTAGCTAGTTGCTTCACACGCATTATGTCATTTAATCTTCCCTGGGATGTGGGTGCTATTTTTAGCCCCACTTTAATGACAAGGAAACTGAGGTCCAAAGAGCTGAAGTCACTCAGTACTCTCTTACTCAGAGTTATATAACTAGGAAGCAACAGAGCAGGATTTGAGTCCAGGTGAGTCTTGCTCCCAAGACCATGCTCTTAATTACTGTGCCACACTGTTGGCTTGAATTACTCTTCCCTCCCCTCCTGCCTACAGCCCCATGACATCCCTCAGTGACTCAGGGACCCCCATTGCTCAGCATTTCTTGCCCACCCACGACAGCTGCACCCCCACCTCACCCGATGCCCATGATGCTGGATCTTATAGTCTCGGGCAGCTCGGCTCGTCCAGCGTTGAACTTCTTTCTCCAGGCCACTCTCCCCCGCCACACCTCCTGCACCCCCTTCCAGCTCCAGGACACACACCTGAATGAATAGGGAACTGTGAGAACTGCCTGACGCTGCTCCTTTTACACCTTCTCCCTACCGTTCCCTCCTTATCGCCTCCCCACGAACAGGTGGGAGCACACACCTACGACCGTGGACACACAAACACAGTCCTGGAAATGGGATCCAGGTTGAGGGGAAGAGGTAGAATGAAAAAGATAGTTAAGTGAAAAGAGAGAAGAGTGGGATAAAGAGTGTTAATCTGTGTCCTGGTGGGAGGGAGGTGAACTGGGGTTCTGAAACCCTCTGTCCATGGTTTAACAGTCTCTAAGTAAATTCCACTGATGAACTAAAAAGCCTCTTGAAAGTAAAAGAGGAAAGTGACAAAGTTGGCTTAAAGCTTAACATTCAGAAAACTAAGATCATGGCATCCAGTCCCACTTCATGGGAAATAGATGGGGAGACAGTGGTAACAGTGTCAGACTTTATTTTGAGGGGCTCCAAAATCACTGCAGACGGTGACTACAGCCATAAAATTAAAAGACGCTTACTCCTTGGAAGGAAAGTTATGACCAACCTAGACAGCATATTAAAAAGCAGAGACATTACTTTGCCAACAAAGGTCCATCTGGTCAAGGCTATGGTTTTTCCAGTGGTAATGTATGGATGTGAGAGTTGAACTGTGAAGAAAGCTGAGCGCCGAAAAATTGATGCTTTTGAACTATGGTGTTGGAGAAGACTCTTGAGAGCCCCTTGGACTGCAAGGAGATCCAACCAGTCCATCCTAAAGGAGATCAGTCCTGGGTGTTCACTGGAAGGACTGATGCTGAAGCTGAAACTCCAGTACTTTGGCCACCTCATGCAAAGAGTTGACTCATTGGAGAAGACCCTGATGCTGGGAGGGATTGGGAGCAGGAGGAGAAGGGGACGACAGAGGATGAGATGGCTGGATGGCATCACCGACTAAATGGACATGGGTTTGAGTAAACTCCAGGATTTAATGATGGACAGGGAGGCCTGGCGTGCTGAGATTCATGGGGTCGCAAAGAGTCGGACATGACTGAGTGACTGAACTGAACTGAACTGAAGTAAATTCCACGGGCTTCCCTGGGGGCTCAGTGGTAAAGAATCTGCCTATCTATGCAGGAGGAGATGTGGGTTTCATCCCTGAGTTAGGATGACCCCCTGGAGAAAGAAATGGCAACCCACTCCAGTATTCTTGCCTGGGAAATCCATGGACAGAGGAGCCTGTTGGGCTACCATGGGATCACAAAAGAGTCGGACATGACTGAACAACTAAAGAACAACAAAGTTAATACTAGGATGTGAATAATCAGGGAGAGGCCTAAACCACAGTCCCCTTTACAACTGGCCTGGATCCACCTAGCACAGAGGTCTCACCTGATCATTCCCTGCTGGCTGAAACTGCTGAGGTGGGGTGGGGGAAAACACTCCAGGTTCCTGAAGAAAAAGCTCCAGATCCTGCTCCCAGCTTACCTTGGGGGTTGGAAAAAATCAAAGCCAGCCACTCACTGGCTCCCTCTCCAAGCCTGTCCCCAGCCCTTCTTGGAAGAGAAAGGACAAGGTGAGAAGGAAATGGGCAGACATGTGGTGGGGTGGGCTGCACTGGGAGAGAAGGGTAAAGAGGATCTCTGGAGGGCTCCAATAGGGCACAGCCCTCACCTGGGAGGTTGCTTGCCTCCCGCGGCGAGCATGCTCCAGGGCCATCTCTGCAGCTTCCAGCTCAGTGCGGCTCAGTGAGGTCAGCGGGTCCCTCAGGTGTTCTAACAGCTCACTGACCAGAGCCTGGAGAGAGTCCCAAGATGCTGACACCACCCTCCCCCCAAGCAGGCTCTCTGTCCAGGTTTGGGTGGGTGATGGGCATGAGGTATGGGAAATTGGGAAGGAATAAGACATTATTATTGCTTCTAAAAACAGACCCTCTTGTGTACATAGCACTTAACAGTTTAAAAAGCATTTTCACATTCATTCTCTCCCTTGAGCCCCATTAGTCTTATAAAGTAGTCTGAGCAGGGGTTATTCCTGTTGCGGAAACAGGAGTTCAGAAGGGTTAAGTGTTCTGCACAATGTCACGCAGCCAGCTAGAAGCAGAAGCCAGGAATGTCTCTTCTGCCCATTCTAAGCAGGCTAGATCCCCCGCCCTACTCAGCCTGTCGGTGATGAGAGGCAGGGAGAGGCTCTCCCTGTGGAGAGGCAGGGGTATCTAGGCTGAGACTAGCCTTGAGCAGGGCCGGCAGTTCTTCCTGGTAGTAGTGGTCAAGGTGGGCATTGGTGGCCACCAAGTTCAGCAGGTACTCATTGCGGGCTGCTCTCAGCTGCTGGGAGTACTGGGCTGATTGGGCAGACAGCTAGGAGAGGAACATAGGTGTCAGCTGGGAGCTCGAGACTCTCAGTGTTCTTCCAAGGCTAACCCAGATCCAGAAAGAATTCTCACATTATTGATATAACTGGCAAACTATACTAAAAATTTTACATACTCACAACTCCTGATCAAAGTCCGCTAGTGGAAACTGCATACATTTAGAAGAAAATCCCAACTGCTCCTTATCATGGCCTACCTGGGCCAACATGAGCTGGCCCCAGCACCCTCTCTTTCCACAGTGCTCGTCCCGCTGCTCACAGTGCTCCAGCCACACTGGCCTTCTCTCAGTTCCTTGAGCCTACAAAGTTATTGTCACCTCAGAGCCTTTGCACTTATCACTGCCTCTCCCTAGAATGTTCTTCCTCTACATCTTTGCACAGCTGGTTCCTTCTTGACACTCAGGCTTTCCCCCTAAATTACACTCCCCTGTTATGCTTTATCAAAGGACCTTTTCATTTATTCTGAGTCTTTGTGTATTTACTATTTGTCCCCCCTAACCAGGCTGTGAAGGCAGGAACTCTACAGGTAGTGTTCCCCACTGTATCCCTCGTGTTTCGAACAATGCCTAGTACATAAAGGTCCTCAATAAGTGCATAAAAAAGGAACGAAAAACAAAGGTACTATGTCTATTTTGTAGATGAAGAAAATGAGTCTCGGAGAGAACAAGTTTACCAAGGTCATGCACCAAGGAAGTAGGGTAGCCTGGATTCATCCCAGTTTCTCTGACTTATGCCCCTGAGTTCTAAACCACTAGACTAATCTGTCCACCTCTCCCTGTCCCCACTCATGCCCACATCCTCTGAACCTTGGTGCTGAGTTTCTGAAGACTGGTCCGAGTGTGAAAGAGGCCATGGTCACTTCGGTTAAGCCTGTGCAGGCAAAGGAAAGGAGTGGAGGTCAGACTCAGACATGGAGACTTGGCTCTACACCCTGTCCCCAGGCTTCCCAACTCCCCATCAGCCCACCTGGCCTGGACATCAGCCGCCTTCTCCTGGGCCAAGGCCCACATGCGTTCCCGCTGCCCATACAGCTTTCGGCTTCGGCTCAGCTCCCGGACAGACTGCAGCACCTCAGCCTGTGCCCTCTGGAGGTTCTCTGCTCCCTAGGGGCATGGACACAGGAAGTCCTGATCCAGACCACCTCCATCCCTGAGTCAGCTCTTCCTTCACCCCATCCACTGAACCATACCTTCCGAAGCACCTGCTCCTTAGCACTCCGCCCCGTGCCCCCAGCCAGGTCACGGTATCGGTCAGATGCCTGGAGCCGGGCTTGGCCCCCAGCCATGGTGGCATCCAGCAGGCAGCGCCAGGCACCGAACACCATCCTGCCTCTCCCCAGAGAAAGACTGTGTTAAGGAGGGGAGTACTCCAGAGCTTCACGAGACGCCCCCCTTCCAGCACCACAGGAAACAGACAGCTTTCCCATCCCCCTCGTCTGGGAGCCCATCAATCGATCCACCCATTATCTCAGCCACAAGGATCCCTCATGCCCTCCCCCACCATCCAGTGTCCTTGCTGGGTCAGCTGCTCTCCTCCTGCTGCATCAGCTCCACCTACAGCTCACGTGCCCTCCCTACAGGTTCCTGGGGTTGAATGCTTCATTCTTTCTTGACCCCCAGTTCCCCCCACCCCACCCCACCGTGGGACTCACCTGCTGTCCATCTCCCCACTCCGGTGTCCTTCCCTCTTCAAGAATGGCCCAGCCAGTTTCTGAAGTGCCTGGTGGGAAAATCATCACAGACCCGATTCCCTTTCAAAGACCCCACGTGTGAGAACATAGGACCAGAATATAATAATACCCCTCACTTTGCTAAGTGCTTTACATGCATTAACTTATTCCATCCTTGCAAGAACCCTGCGTGAAGGTACAATTATTATTATTCCCATTTTACAGAGAAAGAAATTGAGGCCCAGAGGTTAAGTAACTTGTCCAAGGTCACACAACTAAATAGTAGCACAGCAGAGACTTGACACACGCGTGCCTGATTCTAGGTATGTGCTCTTGACCAGCACAGAAGTATGTGTGGAGCCACACTGCTGGTGGTGTAAAGTAGGCCAGAACAAAAGGCAAGGTCCAGAGAAGAGTCCCATACCTGCCCATACTCCCGTTCAATGGCTGCCCTCTGCTTGCTGTAGGATCTGTGGAGATTGGGGGTGTGGGAGGGGGTGTTACTGTTTGGTCCATTTCTCCCACCCTCTATCCTGTCTTCAGCGTGGGCAGGAAGGAGTGGGGAGTCAGGCCTAGAGCGTTGACTACACTGACGCTGAAGAGTGAGTCCTTGAGATCACCTCGGGCAGCCGCAGCACAGGACAACCTCACCTCAGTGCTCAGAGACCCAGCAGGATCATCCCCACCCCTGGAGAACCATCTGTGGGCTTGGCGGTGAGGACTCATGGGGGCCTGGGTACAGTGTCCGCCAGCCTTCCAACAGGTCTGGAAGCGGGAGGGTGGGCTTCTGCCCAAAGCTTGATTGGGGGAGGGGGGGGCGGTGGCGGGGCGGTGTGGATTGAAGGGCTTTGAGGGAGGGTCCCAGTGTGTTTATATGTGTTGGAGTGGGAGGAAGGATAATTCCTATCCGGTATGAGAGAGGCCTAGGGTGAAGGACTTGAATGGGCAGGTTGGAGAGCTCTTTACCCCCGCCCGCCCGGACAGCTGTAGTATGTTGGAGAAGGGGCGGAGCATGTGACAGAGAAAGTGGGGGATATGTGGAGGGGGTCAGGGGCTACCTGATATCCTCCAGTAGGTCTGCCTCTCTCTGCTGCCGGGTCTGAAGGATGCTCAGCTGCTCCAGGAAGCGGAGCTTCACCTCCTGGGCCGGCTTCACCTGTAGGGGTAAAAGGATGAAGACCCCGGGCGCGGGGACCTGAAAAACACTCGGCGCTGGGAGCGGTGAGGGGGCGGGGCCAAGGAGGAGCTGGGCTGTTTCCTCGGTTACTTCTGGGTTGGCCTTTGACCCCTTCCTACTCTTCGACCCCCCGGTCGGGTCTGGTGCCCCCTTGGTCCCCATCACTCCCCCAGCCCGCCGGGAGTCCCCATTTCCAGGCCAAGCTCACTTTTCGGGGCGGCGGCTGCATCTCCGCTCTGGCCCAGGCAGCTGGTCGACTCCGGAACTCAAGGAAGCCCCGCCCACATGTAAGCCCCGCCCCGGTCCAGCTCCGCCCTTGCCCCGCCCACGCCTGGTCAGTCTACTTGCTGCGCGGCAAAGCGCGAGGGGGCCGCAGAGAAACTAAACCTCTGTTACTGCTGTAAATAGCCCGGAAAGGGTCCTCGCCGCCCGGTGGACGCCCAGTCCGCCGGACAGTAGGGGGAAACCTTAGGTTTCTGTGTCAAGACGCCTGGGTTCTATTTCTAGTAGGGAGCTGCTGACTCAGCCCATAATTATTTCTAATCATTCATTTACATATGCAGATCTCCAATCCTGACGCGACGGCTGAAGGACGGCGAGGAACTCAATCTGTGACCAGAAAAACTGAATCACTGGATGCCTCATCGAAGATGCATCTGATGAGGGAAACAGGGCTGGTCCTAGGCCTTTTCCCAATTCCCAATGAACTGGAAAAGCCGGCGTGTGAGCCAGGATGAGAAAGACGCCTGGAGCCAGGAAGCAACCCGTACCAGAGGAAAAGACAGGTACATCCTGGGCCAGTGGAGAAGAAACAACCAGCGTGCGTGGGCTGGGAGATGAGCGTGGGGACCTGTGGCCTAGTAAGCCTCTATCACTTTTAGGTTCTGCACCCTTAAGGCTCTGCACCCCAGGACATACCCTGCTCCACCCCAACCCCGCACTGCCTTCTGATGATCTGCACACCCTTTCCGCATCCTTCTTACCTTTCCGTGGCTCACACCTCCTCGCCACACCCCTGACTTGGAAAAAGCAGGTATCTGTGGCCCAAACTCCAGGTTCATATTTCCAACAGCTCACCTCCATGAAGATCACCTCACGAGATCTAAATAGGTACCTCGAACTTTTAAAACAGCTCCTTCCACCTGATCCTTCCCCAGTCACCTCCCCCAGTTAACATACTAAATGGAACCATTCTCCATACAGTGAGGAAAGTCAGAAACCCAGAGTCTATGTGCCTTCCCTTCTACCCCCACATTCCACCCATCAGTTTAGTTCTTCGCTCAGTTGTGTCTGATTCTTTGAGACCCCATGGACTGCAGCACACCAGGCTTCCCTGTCCATCACCAACTCCTGGAATTTACTCAAACTCATGTCCATTGAGCCTGTGATGCCATCCAACTATCTCATCCTCTGTCGTCCCCTTCTCCTCCTACCTTCAATCTTTCCCAGCATCAGGGTCTTTTCCAATGAGTCAGTTCTTCACATCAGGTGGCCAAACTATTGGAGTTTCAGCTTCAACATCAGTCCTTCCAATGAATATTCAGGATCGATTTCCTTTAGGGTGGATTGGTTGGATCTCCTTGCAGTCCAAGGGACTCTCAAGAGTCTTCTCCAATACCACAGTTCAAAAGCATCAATTCATCAGCGCTCAGCTTTCTTTATAGTCCCACTCTCACATCCATACATGACTGCTGGAAAAACCATAGCTTTGACTAGATGGACCTTTGCTGGCAAAGTAATGTCTCTGCTTTTTAATATGCTGTCTAGGTTGGCCATAGCTTTTCTTCCAAGGAGCAAGTGTCTTTTACTTTCATGGCTGTAGTCACCATCTGCAGTGATTTTGGAGCCCCCCAAAATAAAGTCTCTCACTGTTTCCATTGTTTCCCCATGTATTTGCCATGAAGTGATGGGACCAGATGCCATGATCTTTTCTGAATGTTGAGTTTAAGCCAACTTTTTCATTCTCCTCTTTCACTTTCAACAAGAAGTTCTTTAGATCTTCTTCATTTTCTGCCATAAGGGTGGTGTCATCGGCATATCTGAGGTTATTGACATTTCCATCCATCAGCAAGTCTTAAATGTTCTATCTCTCACTGATCAACTTCTCTCAATTTCCAGAACCAACAGCCTGGTCCAAGCCCATATTATCAGTCTCCCATATGGTCTGGGATCTGGTCTCTTTGCTTTCAGTCTTCCCCCCAACAACCCACTGTTCAGAAAACAGCCTGAGTGATCAATCTTTTTTTAAAAAGGAAAGAAAATCTCATCCCTCTCTTCCCTAAAACTCTTTGATTGCTGCAGAATAAAATCATGGCCTACAAGACTGTGCATGATCAGGTCCCTGCCCATCTTTCCCCTTCAGCCCATACTGTGCTGTCACTCCAGTCTCCTTGCTCTTCCCCCAATATGCCAAGTCCCTTCCCATTGCAGAGCTTTCACACCTACTGCCTTTCCATTCCTTCTGGAGTGATCCTTCTCCCAGCATTCCACATGCCTGGCTTCTTATTCTTACATTTCCGCTCTTCACAGAAACCCTTCCACCCAGCCCAGTGCCACCTCCTCAAGCACATCACTTTGGTTTATTCTTTCACAGCACTGATTCTGTGTGTGCATTTTCTGTTTTCCCTCTACAGTGGAAGTTCCATTAAAGCAAGGACCCCATCTCTTTTGTTCACACTATATCCCCAATACCTGGCACCAATTAGGTGTTCAGCATATACATGTTGAATAACTGAATGAATGAATGGCAGCCTTTTTGTTTCAAGGTTTATTAACAGTGACCCATCCTTTTGGGCTTCTCTTTGCCCCAGCTCCCAACCCTAATCAACCTCCCACCCTAGGGCTTCACTGTAGTTTCTGAATGTTGAAGGTGGGGTAGGATAAACTTGGAGATCATTCAAATTTGTGCCTTCCAGGGACTTCCCTGGCAGTCCAGTGGTTAAGACTTCATGCTTTCACTGCAGGGGGATGCCAGTTTGATCCCTGGTCGGGAAACTAAGATCCCGCATACCGAGTTGTGTTGCCAAAAAAAAAAAAAAAAGTTTGCCTTCCAAATCTTTTTACTGTTAATGCATAAAACAATTCTTTTCAAACCCCAAATCTCTCACAGAACCCCTACATATCAAATACATAAAGCAGGAATTGCCCTTCTTGAGGGAAACTATGTGAGGCTTACAGTTCTGAGAAACAGTTTGACATTCATTGTTCTGCTTATTTCAGTTACTTCATGGTACAAATGAGTCAGCGGAAGCTGAGAGCGGCGCCATGACCTGCCTCTTTTCTGAGCCAGATGCTGTCTCGGGAGCGCTTGGCCCTGTGCTCCTTCCACAGCACCAGACTGGACTCTGTAGAGTCTTTCCAGTCAGGGCAGACATGCCCCAGCACTGTCTGCCACGGGGAGAGCTTGGGTCTTTGATTACCTACCCCTCAGACTGCTGTCCCAGAGTCATGTGAGGGGCTGGCTGGGGGGTAGACTTGAAGTGCAGGGAGTTTGGGTGGGGAAGCCAGGTGTCTGTGTCGGAAGGCCATTGGGGCTCGGGGGCTGGGGGCTGGAGGGTTGAGAAGGGCTGCCCAGGCCTGCGGTGGTCTCTCCCTTCCTCAGGATGAGGCTGCTCAGCTCCTGGAGTAGCTGCTCCTCCAGGGACCCATGTGTCTGGGGGCTGCTCTTGGAAGGGGGGCCCGGAGGGGGCTCAGGCGGCCTCTCCTCCCAGCCCTGGGGGCCTGCTTTGGACAGAAGATATTGATCAAAGGACCTCTGGCTAGGGAGGGGGGTCTCCGGCTTGGCTGTCCACTCCCGTGGGGTAGAGAAGGAGGTGGAGATATCCTCGGTCAGCTCGGGGAAGGCTCCAACTTCCTCATACACCGGCTCCTCATACACAGGCTCCTCCAGATCTTCCTGCTCCTCCACAGACCCCTGGGATGACTTCATTGGCTGGATGAGAATGGGGTAACCAGAGGCAGGCACAGAGTTAGAGTTCCCAGATTATTAATCACTAATATTTATTGAGCTCTTCCTCTTGACCAGATGCTGCAAAAATACTTTTGCGTGTATGATGTCAAAAACAGCCCTGTATGATGGATACACTTCAGGTGAGTGAGCTGAGGTACGGAGGAGTTAAGTAAGTTGCCCAGGACCACACAGTAAGTAAATGGTGGAGCTGAGGCTTGAACCCAGGTCTGTCTGACTCCAAAATGCATTCACTTAACCACTTCCTTCTACTTCTCAAATCCTGTGACCACTTCCCCCTTTCTTCACTGCATCCTACCATCCCTTGTTTTCCTCATTCCTTCAGGTCGCAACACTCTGTCCATCCGCACACACACTCACGGATGGCCTGCATCAGACAAATAGACAGCACATGGGCTCCAGCAGCACAGAGCACAGGGCTAACAGGCACAGAACTGGAGCAGGCACAGTACTCACAAAGAACATGGACAGGGTCCTCCGGTTGTGAAGTCGCCGCTGGGCACAGGTAGGGTGGGGAGGCAAGGAGGGAGAGACACAGAGACACAGTGAGGCCTGGCAGCAGGAACTGCAGGTGGAGAGTTGGGGCACAGAGAAGGCAGAGGGGGCACCAGGCTGGCAGACATGCCATTTCCTCCTGCAGTATGGCCAGGACATGGGCAGGGACCCCGAGGCGTTGGGCAGGCTAGGGGAACCTCACCAGGGTCTGATTGGCAGACAGGAGAGTGGCCCCACTGTCATCCCCACGGATGGGCAGCAAAGGCATGGTGCCAAACTTCTGACGGGCGAGGTCAGAGGAGGAATGGCGTCGTAAGACCACTGGCTGCTGGTCATCGTGCTGGAGAGAGGGCGAGGGGAGGCACCGGTGGGCATGGGAGGTGCTGAGGGTAGAGCTGGGTCCACAGACCTGGCTCTCAGCTCCCTCCTTCCCCTTACCTGGGCTTTGAGGATGCTGGTGGTCCAGTCCCACATCTCGTCCTCGTCTGTGCAGGACAGGTAGCTGGGGGTGATCAGAGTGGGATCACCAGGAGGGAAGGGGTCACAACTAGAGGGGTGGAGGATAGGAAAGGCCGGAGGACAGGGAGCCTAGCTGGGAGGTACTCACAGGTGCATCTTCTCCAGGATCAATGTGAAGCCCCACCTGAGAAGCAGAGGAGACCAGTGATGGGTGATCAGAAAGGCCAGAGGGTTGGTGGCATGAAGGCTGTAGAAGGGTGGACTGGGGGAAAAAACTCACGGGGTGGGAGGCTTGAACTTTTTGCGGA